AAAGCTGCCAAGGCCCATTAAAGTTACCTACTTTGAACTCATTTAATTTACGGATCCAAAGATCTCTAAGTAAATAGCCTTGCACACCCTTTCAATATCTTTAAACCAATTCTCTTCCAAGTCTTCATGAAGTCCATGGGTCTACTCTCCTTAAGCCCTCTTCAAACCGACCCCCTGCAATTTTGCTCGCTGAGCTGCGTAGCTCCAGCAAGATCCACCGTGAGTGCCACAAGGGGATGTGGCGCTCGTTGTTCTCGGAGCCCAAGGAGCAGCACCTGGGTGGCCGGGGGTCCAAAGCAGCTGAATGGCTGGGGGTCCAAAGCACCTGGGTGGCTGGGGGTCCAAAGCACCTGGGGGTCCAAAGCACCTAGGTGGCTGGGGTCCAAAGCACCTGGGGGTCCAAAGCACCTGGGTGGCTGGGGTCCAAAGCACCTGGGGGTCCAAAGCACCGCCTACCAGCGCAAAAGGTTAAGCTATATAGGCTGTGGATCATGGCACCACGATACCGACCGGTTCACCTACCAGGCGGTACGGTCGTCCGCGGCAAATGGTGGACTGGTCGGGCTCCAGGTTTTTGACCCATCCCCGTATACACTCTTCCAGATATACCATGTCCCGAGGTGCATTGGGGACTAGTCCCTAACATGTTCAGACTCTAGAGCGGTCCAAACCTGGAGCCCGACCAGTCTTGGGCTCAGCCGGGTGATTTCTCAATCCACTCTGGTAAAGAACTCACCCGGCTGAGCGCGAATCGAGTAGTAGCTCCGTTCCAACACAGTGAGTTCAAAAGGAGGAGATGTACAATGCACGCAAAACGGTTGATGGAAGAATAATCCAAGACCAATGTATGTGCAATGTACGTTGGATGCTGTGTTGTTAGCCAGGACAAGATCAAGCACGAGTCATAGACTTCTATGGTTCATGACTCCAGGTGCTGTATTCTTTCCCTCGATGAATGCGTTGAATGTATCCTCCCAAAATCCTTTCTTAAATCTGATGCAGCAGGACATTGTATTTTCCACCAAAATGCATCATTCTTCAGCCAAATGCCACGTCCTCATCCCACCGTGCCACGTCCTCCGTGCGTTGGTTTAGCTCCGTCCACTCGTCCTTTACACCGGGGCGCCGCTCGTAGGTGTAGCCGGCTTGGGCATCCCAGCAGCGCGCACCGTGGTGGCCATCGAAGAAGCAGCACATCTCGAAGCTGGGACAGCCACGAAGGACCTGCCGGTCGGTCAAGGACCTGCCGGTCAGTCTATCCCATCTGATTCATCTGCCAGTTTGCCAGTGCATGATGATGCTTAGGTTGCAGGCCTTGTAAACCGGTTCTCTGCAACCGTAACAACCGGAATGGCTTCAGAAAGAAAAACCGTTAAGAAAAAACAAAGTACAGCGGCCAGTCAAGACGGTTGCACAGGTAACCAAAATCGAAACAGCGACGACGGAATAACAAATGGGTTTTTGACAGGGCGTCTCATATGGTCGCGACGTCTAACATTGAAGTCTAAGACAAAGAAACTGATGGAACTTTGGTAAGACAAGGCAAACTCCCTGCCTTCCATTTGAGATAATGCAAAAAAACTCAGGGTGTCCTGAGAATCCCACCCATTACCAGTAACCGTCTATGATGATGGGTAGTAAAGACCGTTCCCCACAATTGTGAGAGTGTTCGTCATCAGATTGCTTGAGAATCATTGGGAAATGACACGTCATCTTCCTTGGATATGCGGTTCCCAGGAAGGTGGGACAAAAACAGCAAATCTTCACCAGGTACTGGGATTCCACAAAATCACCTATCTCATCTTCTGATCTCGCCTGTACCTTCAATCACATGTGGTGCATGCTTCGAAGCTTGCTTTGCGGAAGCTTAAACGGATCCCAAAAAGCCTCGACTTTCCAAAAAATGTGCTGCTCTCCTTTGCAACTCATTCAGCTCAAACAAAAAGGCTGACCAATTACTGTAAATTCATGTAATAAACTATAATAATGTATTGGACATCCAAGCAAATCAGAAGAACTCGATGAGTTGAAAAATCGAATCGACACAACTCACCAAGGTCGAGTCACCAAGGTGACACGTCCCGCCACACGTCCCGCCACGTCCGGTCGTTTCAGCAGTTCTGCACGGCAGCGCCTTCTCATGCAAGTCGTTGATCCCCACGCATTGGGGGCTGTACCAGCCTTGGAGTGATCGAAGGGCCAAAAGAACACCACATGAATGGGTCTTAAAATAGGGGGGAGGTCCGACCTCCAAGTTCGACCTGGCTGGAAGAAGGGAAAATAGACCAAAAACCATTGGGCCAGGGGCCAGGGGGTCTCCCTATTTCAATTGCACAACCAAATGAACTCCAGGGTCTACAGGTGAATATGATTATATGATTAATAGGGATATCCCCCAGCTAGTTCCTCTGGTGTTGGTCCTTTGAAGATCTTCTTATGGATTTTTCTCGATGGACCCCTCATGTGTCACGGGACTCCTCCCACAAACTAGCTATGCCTCAGGGGCCTATCAGGTGTCCATGTGGTTGCGGTTCAAAGCTCCAAAACAGTTCCCCAACCTAGGACAACAACACCAGGACACCAGCTGGTCTTCTATGTTCACACAAATTTGACATCGCAAGTGACCTCACGCCCCACTCGGGTTGAGACTCACGCCTCACTAGCTTTCACCTGCAGCTGCTTCAGCTTCCCACAGTCCCACAAGTTGGCCCAGCGACAGGAGTTGGCCACTAGCGACATGCGGCGCTGGACTTTGGCGCCGGATGGCAATGACCATGGATGACATGTGAAAGACACCAATATGCATGGCAGGGTTAGATGGTGATTGAGCCTACTAGATGATGGTATAGCCTCCATCCCTCACGGGATGGACATGCAACGTGATTTGAGCTGCAGGGGTTAGATGGTAAAACCTCACAATGAGGTAGGTGTGGTCAATTAATCTCCTGGAAACCTTTCCCGGACATGACTTGTCCGTACTGGTGTTGATCCTGAAATTGGTGTCTGTGAGCTGTGGGAGGTCCACTCTCTTTCACAGGACATGTTCTCTTGTGGCCCTGTCTGCCCGAGTCTGCCCAGTTGGCTCTGAGCCAAAGCTCCACGAGCTCGTCTGCTGTTGCCAGGGCGGAGAAGTCCCATACGTGGAATCAGTCCTTTCGGCCCCACATCAGGTGGCATCAGCCCTTTCGGCCCCTTGGTCGAGGTGTGTGAACTTTGACTAAGCACTTAGTGTGTTCAGAAGCACGCTGGCACAGGCTAGCACATTGACCCAGAAGGGTCAGGGTCTGTTTCCTTGGTACTCAAGTGTGTGCAGCTCAAATGCCATACCTTCCTTGATCAATCTGAAGTCTTAATCCTTTTCGTAGAGACAAGTGGTCTTCAGGGGCCAATGTTCAACACATTCACCAAGCACATCTAGGTAGCATGATTGCCTGGTGGTCAATAGATTCTTTAGATCTGCAGTGCAAGATCTGTGGCAAGAGGTAGCAAGAAGTTGAACATTTGAACAGGGTTTCTTTGGGATTCGGTCAATATTCATCGTTACCTTGTTCAACAATCATGGCAGGGCAACCGGACATATGTTACAGGAATATTGCCTTGAATATTGGGGTTTGTTTCAAGGACCTTCAAGGCCCCATGAATGATGCACTCAGGATCTAGATGTCAATAGTTGCCTGGTTCTAGTAAAGAGGCATTCAATTGTCACTGTTGCAGTGATGCTAAAGAAGGTTTTCGGATGCAGAAGTGTTAGAGGGAGGCTGTTTCAACCTTGGGTACGCTCGGCTATGGGCAAACTAGCTACTCGAATAGAATAACCAGGATCAAAGTAAACCCTGGAATACCTTGGGCATTGTAGCAAACAAAGTAGCAAAGCACAGTATACCCTGGGTATTGTAGCATAGCAAACCCTGGGTAGTATGAGTTCAAGTTCATCTTTCTTGTAGCTAACAAGAATGACACTGGGTATGCTTGTGATGGTATGGCATTCATTGAACTTGACCTGATCGTGCACTGAGAGCTTGCCAAGCTCTTGCCCAAACAAACTTCCTACAAGGAAAGGCAGGTCAATCACCACGGGGTCCCATTTAGCGCAGCAGCAGTACTTGTGCACCACTTCGGGCGGACTCCGCTCAGTCTTGGGCCAAGGTCAGGCAGCGCTTGCCGACGTTGAAAGCATCAAATCCGTGGCCAGCGACGGGAAATCTGGCTTGACGGCCTGATGAACATGAGGTGCTTTGCCTCTTGTTCCACCTGTTGGTCGGTGTGACAGTACGCATCATCCACTTCTGCGCTTCATCCACTTCCGGAGGATTCCCTTCCAGGAGTTTGAAGGCATTGGTGTTCCCTTCCAGGAGGTTGAAGGCATTGGAAGGCGCATGTCTTTCAAAGAGATATGGGTCGCCTTGTTTGCTGCAAACAAGTATGCAGCCCGTGTCAATTCGTCAGCTCTGGCAAATTGTAATTGAGGATGAATTGAACCACTCTCTTCCCCATCACACCACGATGGAATCCCTCTGCCACATTTGGGACCATAGTAATGCATAGCAGGAAGGCCAAGCACACCTCAAACTTGGAAATGTCGGTTGTCCGCAGCTCCGAAACTATTGGATGGAGTGGAGTGCAGTTAAATGGACCCTCTGGCAAACACCCTCTTTGTGAAGATTGTCAAGCTCAGAGTATTGGACATTCTGCATTTGCAAGACATCTAAAATTACAAAATATTTTGAAACGCATTGATATATTCGGAGATACTGCATATACACTGCAAGTGACTTACATTTCAAGGTTGTGACGTTGCAGTTGCTCCCATCTTGGAATATCATTGAAGGACTCATCCTGTAATGACCAGATATTCCCCGATGATCTTCTTTCTTCAAAGGTCCACCGAGATGCTCGACTTCATCTTGTCCATGATCTCTTGGGCCCCACCAAGCACCTGGATCTGATCGTCTCACCAAGCACCTGGATCGCGCGTGGGCTCGTTACGAAGATCCATCTACTCAAGATGACTCAATGTCATCTCCATCTCCTCCATCATCTTCACCTTGATCCACCGAAGATCCCTCGTCCTCTTCCAGGTTCAAAGATCCGTCACATCCAATTCCGCATTCCTCTTCCAGTTTCAATCCATTCTCCACATCGCATCCATCCAGAAGATTGGATCCCTCCACCGCCTCCACCTGCTCCAACTCTTCGCTCCCACGCACGGAGCCTCCGCGCGTGCGCACGCGCTCCACTGCCCGGAAGAAGCGCCCGAAGAGCTCCTGCCGCACGGAGGGCTCGGTGGCCGGCTTTTCGGGATGACCCTGGCAGCCCAGCATGTACTTGCCAGAGGGATCCTGGTACTCGTACCTGGAGTGGGAGACGGTGGAGGGATGCGGATGGCGATTCTGGAGGTGCGTGTGGATGGATGGCTCCTTTTTAGGGTGGCGGGGTGATGGGTTTGGATCACCCTGGCCATCCCCAGCCCATGCCATATGTCTGAGGGACATGTTCAGGATGATCGTGAACCGAATCCAACTAAACTAGGCCCTCGCCACAGACCAAAAGACACACTTGGGTTCTGTATGCATGATTGATGCGTGGATGTGTTAAGACTGAAATTGTAGATACCTGGGAAAGCTTGAGCTGGCTTATGCTGGCTTGAGTTAATCCATCTTTGGCGAATTCGACCTGTCCTGACCTTCTAGCGGCCCAACAACTTGTGACTTCATGCGCTAAACACAGCTGAGATGCAGCATGCTGATGTCCACCTCCTTTCCCTCTGAATTCATGAGCTTGTGGGACCAAATGACTTTGAAGTGTTTTCGCCCCTTGAACTGACGCACGTAGGTGCCAAACTCATGACTGAAGCAAAGCTCGCCGTTGGATGCCAAGTTCATGAATGGCCGTGTGCAAACATACTTGCGATCCTTGCACCAAGAAAAGGCGGATAGGGTAGGAGGGTAGGACTTGTGGACTTCTTCTCATCTCGCACTATTTACACATTGGAATAGGGTGATCCCCATGAACAAACTCACAAGCACATTGTTTAATGATTACTGTTGATTAATAAAACCTCCAAGCCTGAAGAGGTGTTACAATCCATATCTAAAAGGGGGTGTTATTCATGTTCATTCATTTAGGAGAGGGGTCGAAGACCCTCCAAGTTCGTGAGACTCATCTCTTCCAGCCCAGTCTCCAGCTTGCTGAGCTTCATCCCATGCGCCCGCGTCAGCTGTTGCGATCCTGCGTGAACGGTGCGCCGCACGTGCGCTCCCCGGGTGGTGTCCGATGGAAGAGCCAAATCTTTGGAATCCAACATAAATGAAAATCCAATGCTAATCCAAGACATCATCTAATGATCCTCTTTTTTGCGCGCTTTTTTGTTGGTTCCCCCCAACTGAGAAGTTGGTGCCAGGAACAATGCTCCAAGAGCACCGTCAGACTCGTCACGGTGCTTCTTCGGTACCACCGGTCCTAGGCAAATGCCCAGCAGTGGAACCTTCAAGCGCTTGAGGATCTCCTTCCAGCCCTCATGCTCTGTCATGCTGGTGCGCTTGCCGCCACCCAAGACCTGAAAATCCAAGCAATCCAAACATGACCAGGATGACCTACCAGGGTAAGTACGAACGGATCCAAACCTGAGACCGGGATGACCCATCCAAGCAATCTCGTACATTGGGTCTATCCTCTTACCAGCAACAGTGGATGATGATGGTTAGATATGGTGAGTAAAGGCCTTTTTCTGAACTATAGTGACAATTGTTTGCCAACTGTCACCGGTACTCGCAAGCCAAGTGGTCAAAGACATTGCGATGCTATGCCAGCCCCCTTGGATCAAGGTACGTAGAATGAAACACATCAAAGCTTGGCTGGGACATGCATCAGACCACAGGAAATCTGGGACAATGCTTGTGGAAATAGGTTTTTTCTTCCTGGAAAATCTAGGCATTACATTTCTGGTCGCTGCTTCTCAGGCAGTTACATTAGGGGAGCGGCTAGTGAGAAACTCACTCAATCAATGGTCTCTGTAGATGGTCAGAATCCTGGATATACTTTGGGAACCGTTCAACCATGCAAATGCAACAAATTGTTGGCCTGTACTTGGATGATAGTGTATGCAAAACTTTCTTTGCCTGTACTTGGATAGTGTATGCTTGGTTTCTGCTGCTTGCGTATGCTCGGCAAGAATCAGTCCTCTATACAGCCCCAGAGTATATAACAGCTTAAACGTGTCGCTTGGCTTAGTAGGCTTAGTAGTGCCTACTTGGCAGAAAACCACCGGTCCACCAGTCCCTTTCTTTCAATCATTTCTTCACACACCTCGAGTCGCGACCCGTCGCGCCTTCCGACCTCCACCGAGTCTGACGGCCTCCGAGGCGCGATGAAATCGTAGCGGCTCAGAGCCTCCAATCGCTGAGGCACCTGAGCGATGGATTCCCCTCCAAAGTCCTCGGGGCTGCACGTCTCCAGCGTCAAATCCACTGAGGCACCTGGGCCAAGTGAAGGGTCCAGCCTTTCGCAAAAGAACTGCAAAAACAAGAACAGTGTTCACTTGGATCCATGTTTTGGGATTCCAGATTAAAAATGATCAAAGCCGTGCTGTGTTTCTGCAGCCAAACCGTTTTCTTGCAGATACAAGTAGAAAATGACTCCACAGTAAACTAGAATATGCAACTTGTTCCACCTCAAATTCCATCCAGGTTGCCCCACTGCCTCTTGCTTTCGATCGCAATACCTGGGCGATGGAAGTTAGTAGTGACACGCATACAAAGTTCTGAAGAGTATCAGTGAGCAATGAGTCAATAAGACTCAAACGTGCGCAGGTTTTCCATGTCTGTTGTATACGGCCAATTCAATGTGGCTTGGGTTAAAGACACATATTGCCAAGTAAATCTCAGCAGATCTGGCAGATTTCGACCCGACTTGGCCGTGACGATGGACTTGCCACACGATTTTGCCGTTCTCCCTGGCTGTTGGGGAAGAAAAAAACACACGTTTCCTCATCGGGGCCGCATCTCCAAATCACATCATTACCAGCAATAAGACGTGGGTTTTTGTGTCAACAATCAAACCTGCTGAGCGACTCGTTTGTTCTATTACTAGTTGCTTGTTCCACCCAGCTCACTTTTGGACTAAAGAGTCAGGTGATGGCCCTTTTGTTCAAAGCTTTGTGCAGCTATAGTTCAGTAAAAGAACATACTAGAACTGTCTCTTGCGCAGATTCTTCTTTTGCCTGAAATCTACCACGCCTGCTTTTCTCCAATGCTCACAGTCGCACCGTGCACCCAGCGCTCGAAACAGCAAAACATTGGATTTTACTTGACTTTACAGCGTGCTGGCGCATGCTGCAAGTACACAGGAATGGAAACAACTACATTAGGTCATTAGCTGAACTACTGATGACACAGTAAACTGGGACAAGCACGGACAAGCAACAAAAAGCACAACTGCAATGTAGGTTTAACTGCTTAAAGGTTGCGCTGCTCTTAATCGAGCTGCTCAAATAGAATTTTTAAATGGGAAGTGCAGTGACAAAGTTGTGCTTGGTCTCCCCTTGACCCATGCCATGCCATTCCATAGCCCGTAAGCCTACCATTAACTCTCCGATGTCCACTCGAATCCAATGGCCTCCACTTCGCAACCCCCACATCTAAGACACATGACCTCAAACATTTGGGCATGGCCAGCCCTCGTCCCCCACTCCCTCGCCTCGTGAGCCCTCCACCCAGCCCATGCCATGCCAATGGACTCTCGAGGTAGTGCTCCCGCCCCACCGAGCTGTTCACCACAAAGAGTCCACGCAGAGCGATTCCCGACGGCGACGCTGCAACTGGCGGTCCCAGCGTGGAGGGATCGAGGAGTTCCGGGGAGCAAAGCCAAAGGATCTTCTTGGAAGCTGAGATCTCCATGGGCGGCTTGACCAGGAAGGCGGCCGAGTGTTTTTTCGTTTTTTGAGAAGAATCAGGGGGGGAGTAAGTGCTCTGCGGATTTCTGCGGTTCAATAGTGTTTAATCGTATAGAAGACTTAAGCATAGCCGAGTATGACCCATTGCATCGACTCAGATATGGGCCCCTGTTGCCGCAACAGTATGCCGGATGAATCAGGGGACACCCGAATCAGCACATGGACTTGTCGTCCTCACACCTTGGCGGGTGCTAAACCGCACTAAGGCAGCAGTTTTTTGGATGTGCACCAAATGGGGCCTTTTTGACCTGTGAAAATCATACAATCCCTTGTTGCAAAGTTTCTGTGGCCGCTTGTAACGAGTGCAGCGTTTGTTTGTATGTCGACCAAATCGTCGTGAATGACCCTGCCTTGAGCATCAAACCTTCGGCAAGTTGTTAAACGTGTTAAACGTGACCAAGTGGAAGCGTGCCGAGGGAGGTTCAAGACGAATGACATGTTTATCTCAAGTTCTCACATGTGAGCGAAAAACAAATCCTACTATATACAGAATCCACAACAATGATACAAAAAAGGGCCTGATTCAATTCTTCCAGTGATCATCTTGGCCAAAACAGGTTCAGAATGGATGATGATGGATGATGTACAGATATACTGTACTAGATTACTAGATAGATGCAGAATACTGTATTCCATGGGTATCCCTGGTCTCTTCTAAATGATGCAGGCAGGTTGTGCAACAAATACAACAACACCCTGCCCGACCTCCCAGCTCCGTGTCTCAGTCCCAGGCCCGTGTCTCAGTCGACCATCACGATCAACAATCGGATGGGCGATGTCACGTGGGAGAGGTTTCGCTGGTTGGGTTTGGGGGGAGTTTAGAAGGGGTGTAAAATCTATAGAGGTTGCCACCCGAAAGCTGGGGGAGCTTCTCAAAGAATGGGTGAAAAGGAGTTCAAAGGATTCACAGGGGAACATCGACGATGCGCTTCGGCCAGTGTTGTATGTCTATGTGCAGGTTCCTCCAGGTTAAGCCGCTTAAGCACCTGGTCTATAGGAGGCGCCTGTGATGAAGACCAAGTACCCTACCAAAGCTCGAGAACTGTAGCAGCTCTCAATGGACCTTCCAATCCAAGCTGTCTTGTTGGATCATCCTGTGGCTGCAAACCCAACAAGTTTCAGCCTTCCCGTCTCACCTAGCCTTTCGCAAGACGCGAGATGTCTGGAAGCTTGCAGGGTCCACCGGGTCCTGTTTCAATTAGACTTGCTATCAAGCAGCCTGCCCAACGTGGCTGCAGGTGGAGTCTCAAAGTGGCTTTGGTGCTGTATCGGATATCTCTTTGCGGGTGAGGGGTCATGAGGTGATGTACCATTTTCCAGCATGCCTTTGAGATTCCAAGTATACGTCGCCTATACTTGACTCATCCTATCTACATCTCCCACAAAGTCAACCTCGGACTCTGCAGCTCTGAGCAAGGAGTGCGACTTGAGCAACGACATGGCCGGAGTCGCGCAGATTTGGATGAACCCGAAAGATCTCGAAGTCATTTGGAAGGACCCCGATTTGCAGGTGAGTCGACCACCGCGGTTTGGTTATATTTGGTTTGGACCCCGTTTCTTTTTTTCTGCACCCCATTTGGACGGAATTTTCTCACTTGGATGTTCGAAGAATTTTGCGTCACGAAAGCAGCATCTCAAGAGCCAACGACGTAATGTGTCCACCATGTGTATCAATGGATTGGCGACTCATCGTACAGAGCATTGTGCCACAGATCTGATCTGACTATATTTATAGTGACCGGCTTGAAATTAAAAGAGTCAACCCATCGTGGTTGTTCTACCGCATCCTCAAACACGCAACAAAAAAACACATCCATCGTGAGGAAGTCATTCTCCAACCGGGTGCTTCCGAAGGTTTATACAGCGCCGATACTTCCCATTAAAGAGCATTGAGTTTGATTGGGCTCTGGCTATTGAAGAAAGCCTGAATTCTCCTGGTCAAATTGATGTCACCCTGTGGGCATTGTCAAACAATATGCCCCAAGCTCTGATGCCAAGCGGAACGCAGCAAAAAAAAAAAACTGCTGCACCTGGGCTGCCGAGAGATAGGCGGTGGTCAGCTCCGCATTGCTGGCGCCTGTACACAAGTTCATGATGCATGGGTTAATGAAGGAACATGGCTTCAAGGAAGCTTTTCAAGTGCTGATTCATGAAATTGTTGGGACCACTGAGACCACTGGGGTTTGGGGAAGCTACAGAGGTTCCGGGCCATTGGGCCACTGCTCTTTTCGCCTTTTTGAGGGTTGTAGGTAGGTACTTCATTCAAATCAAAGCAGCCATCACCAAATTCAACAACCGCTGACCACTGGGAAAGATCAGCTGGGGATTCCAAAGGGTAGCATAGCTGTATATGACCCATTCAGGCTCCCCCCAATTCTTCAGAAGCTAGGGACTGACCCACCCCGCCCAGTTACTGGCGCCAACAGAAGACAAAGAGAGACGAATGGATGATGGACTGCACCTCCCCAGTGCTTTGCTCCAAAAACGCCTCGCCTGCCAGACGTGCACGGAAGGTGGCACCAGCCACTTGATCGCCCGCCCACTCCATGGCCAGCTCACCTGACGAAGGAGAAGGGGAAGAAAGAGATGTCCCCCCCAGGGTTCCTATAGATTAAAATCATGTTGATTCAGGAATCTTTTGGAGACAACACGTTGGAGCATCTGTTGATCTGTATATGATTCATTCCTGTTTATCTTTGCCCACGAGCTTGGATTGGACCAAGATTGAAGACAAACAAAGCCTAGGTGGGCCTCGCCCCTCTTTTCAAATAAACAACATTCATACATACTGGAAATTACTGGAACACATTGAATTGATGTTGAAATGGACAGAATACTAAACTCTCCTTTTGGTTTTCCGAAAGGGGAAACCATCCCCAGAAAAGCTTCAAGGTTGTCCACTGAATCTGAATGGGTCTCTACCAGGACTTGGGCCATTGGGTGATGGCCATCTCCCGTGATAACCAGGACGGATGACCTCATCACCTGGACGACTCGCAACGAGCAACGACGGCCAAGCACGTTGGGTGCTGGGCTGCCTTCCAAGGGCGTCATAACTCCGAGATCATAACCCAAGAGCACGCCCAAGTTGAAGCCAACGGCCTGGCTCTACAGAGTGGAGGTGGATATAGGTGGACGCAGTGATGCGGAGTTTTTCTTGTTTCAAGTAGCATGTATTTTTTGCTCTTAGCTGTTGGCGTCCCGTTCTTTTCCAGATACCAATGGATGAATAGATGGAACAGTAAGCGTCTGCAGTGGTCTTCCCGAACGGCATCAATTAGGATCAATTAAGGTACTCCATCGTAAGACCTGGTTCTGAAAACCAAAATTAAAACTTTCCCATCATGGACCATGACCCCAGCCCCCGAGGCTTCCCCCTGTAAACTTTAGGCCCAATAAGGCATCGAGTATTGCTCCGAACCAAAGCTGGCGTCCCCGTTCTTTGGTGGACCTCTAAGTGTCTGGGATGTGTTCTTCCTCTCAGCCGCACAGCTCCCTCATGTCCAAGCAACGGTGTAGGTGGGCAAGCGCTGCAGAGCTTCGATGGAGGTCACTTGGCTGAGCCTAGAGATGCCGATGCCAAGCGGACGTGCATCGGCGTCGGACGCCCAAAGGCGTTCCGGCCAGCGAGCTTGGTGAAAGCTGTGAATGTCGTGAGATAGGCTGCGGCATGGCTACCCTGGCGACATGACATGTTGAGGGCTGAAGACCTTGGCGACTTGAGAGGCTCTAACTATTTATGTCTAACTCGCCGGGACTTCGGCCTCCACCGTCCGACGGACCGCACTCCTTTTAGATCTGCCGAAAAGGTGCGGCTTGACATGATATGACATCAAAACGGGAGCCATCCCCACCGGACCCCAAGGTGGTTCGAGTCGAGTTCACCTCGGGCCAGATGCGGATCCAAGAGGCGCGAAGGCCTTGCGCGCATCCGCCGCTCCAGGCATCAGTAGGGTGAGGTCCTAGTGTGACCAATGACGAACTGGTCAGTTTCCACGAGTCACAGCAAACAGTAGATGTTGAGGGTCCAAAGCCGTGCGCTGGCCGTCCATTCCCAAAGACCAATTGCAAAGAACATACATAGACATAGAGACATCCAAAAAACCAATCCAAAGGAGCAGCTAAGACCATCATCTCCCAAGGACCTTGTCTAAATATGTTTCACGATACATGTAGATACTATAGTAGTAGTTCTCCGTTGTAGTAGTTCTCCGTTCTCAGCTCCTTGAACCACACAGCATCTTCCACTTGGCAGTCCTGTTCCTCGACCCCAAAGGTCGACAACGCGCCGGCCAGGAGGTAAGCCCCGCCACCGCTGACCCGCGGCACGGCGGCGGCGATTTCTGCGGCGTTGAGGAAGCCTCGGATGGGTCTGGGAGGAGCCGGAACTGAGGAACTGAAGTGCACTGAAACTGCTCAGAGGTCAAAAGGGAGACGAAACCAAAAGGCAGTAAGTAACTCTTCTAGCCCTGGCTGAGGTGCACTGAAACTGCTCCAAAAGGCAGTAAGTAACTCTACCAATGGACCAAGGGACTTTCGTTTGAGGCATTTATTAATAGCCCGCCACCTTAAGGGGTTAAGGGCAAGGGAGAACATCCATTAACCACAAGGACCGCGGGTCTTGGTACATGACTTCTCACATGACTTTGGGTACTTCTCACAGTAGGCTCTCATACTGGTGGGCTTCGTGGACGTCCTGAGGATGTGGGATCCACCCAAAGGCATATCTACCGAATAGCATTTGTTTTGGGGAAACCATGTGAAGCCCCCACCTGTGACAGGTATGTCAAGGTGTGACACATTCGACTTTCCGCCAGCACTCGCAACAGGTGAATCCATTCCATCCCCTTTTAAAGCCCTTCGCAATAGTTGAATCCATTCGCGGTATCCACGATTTCCTCTTTGGGTTTCATGAAATCCTTTTGGACACCCAAAAACGGAAGTCTTGACGCATGGCCTGAGAGCTTGGCAAAGGGCATTTTTACTTTTTTGTGTGTGGGCGCGCGTGCGTGTGTGTACGATTTATTATTTTGGTCCCGCCAAGAACTTGATCATTCAAACTCAGCTTTAAACACATGGACCTCACGGTTTCCCCACCAAATGCTCCGAGACACCACCTGGGCGCCATTTCGCCAGCTGCGCGCTGGCGCGCCCAGCTTCTATCCAACGCCTCTCCTCCTGGCGTTGGCAGCGGAGGAGGGTGTCGGCGCAAACGGTCCTGGCGGCAGGCGGCTAGCCGGGGCGTAAACAGCAGGTCAAGTGAGAGTGGTATCTGCAAGAATCTTAAGAGCAAGTCCGAACAAAGACACATCGAGGATGAGATGAATGGATACGATTAGATGGAAGGTATAGGTTACTTAGCTCTGTCCCCTGTACCATTCAAGTCTATCTCTGTACACTTGCGTGTCCTTTACTTTTGGCATAACATGTGGCGAAGCCAGCAGGACCACCGATCTGCTGAATACATTAACTGCTGTGTCCCAAACGAAGCTGATGACTCCTTCTATTGACTCCCCCTCGCGTGTATCCTGGTTGATCGGTCGATCAGATTGACCCTGTCCACCGCCCCGGCAATCGTGTCCTTTTGGGAATTATAGAGATTTGGTACCATATATGACCTATTGCCTGATATTGCTTGTGCATGACCAATTAGTTGTCATCAACCAACCAAGGGCGTGAAAGGCCATGGGGTCTCCTTCTGGTCAATATTAGTCTATCAAACTTAATGCCAACCCTCTCAGTTTCCCAGAAGCTTAACCCTTCTTGCACCTCTTCATGTTAAGTGGGGGTGTCCCCCAATCCACTGAAAAAACACATGACCTGCAGGTTATCCACGTTACTTCCGTGGCGTAGCAGTGCCCACCTCCCTCCTTCACCCTGTTCCACGGAATCCCACCCCATCTTCTCCTGAGTTGCCAAAAGCCCTGCATGGCCAGCGCCGCCACCAGCTCCATAGAGCCACCCAGCGACGTCACCCGAGACGCCAAGGCCCCAAGCGCTGCGACGCTCGATGCGTGGTCCTTGCCGAAAGCGCAGCGCAGCGTGGCGCGGCACGGCGATTTGCGAGCGCTTTTTGGGAGGTGCTCCGGTTGGTGGAGCGCGGACTGGAGGATTATAGTGTGAGTTGCTGATCTGATATCATAATTATAAGAACCTATAGATTATAAGGCACTGAATTGAAAGTGAAGAAGGTGAATTGCCCCCAAGCTTTTGGTTGAATGAGCCCAAACTGTGTACTTGGTCAAAGCACCATCCATGTACTTCCATGGGGCCAAAACATGTTCTGGGCAAATAATCATCACTATCCCCCCTACCGGTCAATTGCATCATTTTGCTGGAGTTGGTCATACAAATAACACTACTCAAGGACCTTAAGGACGTCTATAGGTTTTACTGCATGGGTCCAGACTGGACTCAAAGGGCAATTATATACTGCGATTTGTTTCACCCACGCACATCACAGGCTCCTGGAGGTTGAACCGCTGTATGGCCGCTGCCCACTGCGCGTCGAAGTCGCTCGGCACGCTCGTTCCCGCAGAACTCTCAAGCAGCTGTCCAAAGCGTGAGACCAAGGCCAGGTGCCTCGGGCGACGCCGTGACTTCGGCCGAAACGGGGGGCATAGATCGAGCTGGGGTAGACCGAGCTGAAACTCTCTCCAAGAAGGTAGTATGATAGTAAACGATACAGGAGGGGATCAGCTTATTGGAGAGGATCAGATTACAATAGGTAGACTAGCTGACTAGCTAGTATGATTGGATGAGATTTAGATAAGTTTGATAGTACACGATATAGGGATATATAGGGTGTCTATACTACGGCACTGACTTTTTTTGGGCGGAATGTTCCTCGGTGGCCGGCCTCGAATACACCCAAAAGAATCTTAAACATTGAATTGGGTGATTCAAACACATAGTGAGTATATATAATACTACCCTCACATTCTGTGCTGAGCATGACCAAATGATCTTGCCAAACAATCAATGCTTGGAATATTTGCTGGTCACTCGGGGGTTCTGGTGTTGATATAAGATATTGCATGCATGGATTGTCTGAGATGTAATACTCTTGTTTGGGTATGACAGTGAGCCTCCCGCACGGCAAATGGACCTCCTGCTAAAAAACATTGTTTCTCCTAAACACCATCGCTTCCGAATGCTTGACCAAACTTCCCCCGGGTGCGTGATGGTGTTTGCCACCCCTGCATGGGAATGTGTGAGTTTGGAAGTGCATAGCTCCATCCTCCAGTGAGGCCCTCAAAAGAACTAGCCCAGCTGGCTGCCTCTGAAGTGAAGATCTCCGGTGGATCCTGTAAGCCCTGGCAACAACATCTAAGACATTCCGCCCCTGATTTCTTATCAATCACCAAGAAACAAGGCGTCCATCTCCGTCTGTGGCAAGCTCTCCTCGTTGCAAGCAAGTTCGCATGGAAATTCCCACTGATTCCTAAGGACCACTCTCAACAAATCTTCTAGGATTACCCGAGTCGCCCAGAGCTCATGAATCATAGGATTTGATTGAAAACCGTTGAGTCTGTTACTATGTGAGTCTTCTTTTGGGTTCAATAT